GCTAAGAAATGGCGAATTGTCATAGAATGTACAATTTGTAAGATGTAGAATCATATAGTACGTTCAAAACATGGACTGCCAGCAATTTTCTGAAAGGCGTGGCAAACAATCCCAATATGAAAAATGTCCCGTACCTAACAGAGTAAACAAACTCGTCATGAGTAATTAAATAAATAAAAAAAGTGTGGGGCTGGTATCAAATATGTATAAATTAAACTGAAGATCGCATAGCGGATCATCATCAGTCCTATCGTGAATGTCTCGATATTTCATACTAGACAATATCTTTTATTTAATTTCCTTTTTATTTACTATTTATTTTAATTATTACAAAGGTAGCTAACTCACCACTTCAGAAAAAGAGGGTATGAAAAAGATATATTCAGAATTACACACTCTCCATTAGTGATTAATATGTCAGAAAAAAGTTATTTTAGTGAATTTCTCTTCCCGTTCTATGTCATTAGTTGAAAAAAATCTTGGTACATGTTTTTTAGGCGTCTTTCTGAATAGTCTTATTATGAGAATACAGGTGTGTGAAATTAATCCGTGCAGATTGAACAAGAGAGGCGTATGGTTTACTACCGCTTTTTAATTTAAAAATATTACTTTTTACATATTTATATGTTTTTATTTATAAATAAATATTTGCAAAAGTGTATATACGATTAAAATAACGTATTTATTAAAGAACTTTTCTTTTAGATTTCATTAATAAAGAAAGAGGAGCCATATCGCAGGAAGATCTCACATTACATCTGTGGACGTGTAAATCTTCAAATTCTTCCGATACGGTGCGCCCATTTTTCCCTGAGCTTGTTTCAGATCCATCTCAAACCGCTGGTACGCTTCCCGCATCTACCGGTGTCGCCAAACCACCATTCTCCGTTTGGCGCAAAAAGCTCCCACAGCGGCGGCGCCACCCTTTGCCACCGGCCGCCCGTCGCCTCGTGCGCATCGCGCGCATACCGTGCCAGACCACGAGGCGCCCGCCGGCGCCGCCAGCCGAACCCGAGAGAGACCCCTGGCAGCCCGGCGGGTGGCAATCACAAGGGCGCCTGTAAAAACGCTCTCTGTGCAGCGTGCGGCGGCCGCAAGGCGCGGCGATGGAAGGCGAGGCCCGTCCCAAGAATAAGTGTGCTTCGGTCGAGACAGCTATGCGCGACATCGCGCAATCAGGCAGGGTTCCTCGTTAACTGCGACCGAAAAATCCTCATACGTGTACTTAGCTCTAGGATGGTATGCGGACCCGCGAACAGCTACGAATGAATGCGCTCTCGAACATGCTCAGATATTGTTTTTTATTTCTAATAACTTCATTGCTTATTAATTTCATTCAAAGTCAAAGTATTAAGGTTTTTAACCATGTTTATTTTAAATAACAATTACAAGACCTTAAATAGATATTAATATAGCATTAAAAACCCTACTTGCGCATTGACATAATAATAGATTCAAATTCAGGACCTACTCTGATAAATGTCTGAGAATTTTTCCTTTGTCCAATGACTAAACGAAAGTAGAAAGAATAAACGATTACACGATAGGGGTGAATACTTGCAGTGAAATGCAGCTGTCATTTGATTCATTGTGTTGAGTAAAAAGTCGAAATTTATAATAAGAAATGAAAAGGAAAAAAAGGTCCTCGGAGCGACCGTGTGCTATGCATCCTTTGCGGTTAATATTTCGAGGCTACCGAATCGAAAATCCGCAGACACCGTCAGGACTTGGACCCAAGAACCTCCCGGGCAGAGGCCCTGCACATGACATCATATTGAGGCCCGGAGCACCCTTTGCCTGCCCCATAAAAAGCGCATGTTCTTTACCGACGCCTTATACCATTTTCTCTTCACACTCTTACATTATTCTTCTTTCTATTACTAGTGGAAGTCTATTCAGCAATACATTCGTAACTTATGTCTAATCTAATATCTTTGCGTTCGCGCCTCCAGTTACATATTATTGCCTGCTACCTAGGTACTTCCAATTTTGGCAGAATATTTTGAACATTTTTGAATTCCTAACCATAATTCCAATTTCAGTTTTCTAGCTCTTCCTCCACATATCTATATTACTCATTGGTAAGGTTTATTCTACCTCATTCGTGAGTACTCTTCATACGAGTTCCCCAGCATTACAAAGCATGTCTTATCTTCAGCAAAACCACCACCTGACCCTCTGTGAAGTGTAGAGAGCATAAACATAGTCACAAATTTAAGTACACCATATTTTACTGCATTTCTTCCTCCATTAATTCTCAGGCGCTTCATTTCAAATAGATTTTAAAAGTTTGATATACAGAGCACACCCTTATGCTAAACCCTTTGTTAATTGGAAAACGGTTGCTGAAATAACGTTTTTTCTCTACTTTTATTGGGCTCATATTTTACCACTAATTGCCTGTAGTTTGAAGAATTAACCTATAGCGAATAATACTTAAACCAAAAAAACTGGTCCCCTGTTAACTTCAGTCGTTGAGCATAATATGACGTTAAACAGAGGACAAATGCGCGAAGAATTTTCACATGACAAATTATGATGCAAAAGGGAAAGAATGGAACCTTTCCATAGAAATGTGTTATTTTATTTGTAAATCGATCCACAAACCCAATTGTTTGTTCATAAAAAAAAAAATCTGATGTTCTGTTTAATAAATTCAGGAAAAAATAAAACTTTTCAAATCTTTCCTCTTTTTTCCCGGGTGGGGGTTTGTGTGT